AATATTTTGATCCCTAAAACCCTTACATCTTCAAAACTAAACCCTAATACAACATAGTTAACCCAAACATAAATAATATAATAAAAAATAATTTTGAAAAAGTGGTATTTTTGTAAAGAGTTTGAAAATGTGGCATTTTTTAAAAGTCGCATTTGAAAAGTTGCATTTCTTAAAAATTTTCAATTTTTTTTAGTGATTTTATAAATATTTCAGCAATCCAAAACTCAACATCACAAATAAAATTATACTTTACATTGATTAAAATATATATGATCCAAACAGTCCAAAACCTAAAAAACTCTATCCATTAAAATAAATAAACCCAAAGCCAATGGAACAACTAAATAACCGAATTCCTGATTGCGAGTACTATCTGAGAGGAAACTGCACCTATGCCGTATTTTAAGAACTGGCATCTTGCTGCGTCCAGTTCCTGAAACAAACAAAAAAAACATATTATGCTTGCCTTGGCAAGGGAAGAGTGCAAAAAATGTAAGGAAAAAGGTTATACCATGGAAAGCTTGTTTGTGCTCTTGTCAATTTCAGACCTGTTTCAAGTAACAAGTCTAAATTTTTGATTGGTTATTTGATCAAAAGAAAGATTAAAAAGCTGGTCACATACATTAGCTCAATTCGCATCTTTTCCATATCACGTCGTAATTTGTCTGTCTCGTACTATACAAGAGTAGAATTGTTAGGTGTAATAAATTCACCCAGCTAGACACTACTAGAACGTAGTTCATAAGACAGAGGCTAAGCATATTAGAGACATGCTCCGCCAGTCGCTTCTGCTTCTTCGCTTCAAAAAGCTTTTAGCAGTCACAGGTCACAAGGGACATACAGTTACAAGTCATGGCACTCACCAAGTCACTGCAATCGACGGAACTAGTGACACTGACAAATTTGGTTTGTGCGTTGACCACCGACCGACGGTCTCGACATCAATTTATTAACAATCAACGGTTTAGCACGTCAACCGATTTAACATGTTTCTAAAGGAAATACGACTAAGGACCGACATGACGTCCATCAACCGACTTAACATATTTCTAAAGAAAATATGACTAAGGACCGACATGATGTCCTACTATGGACCGACGAAAGACATGCCCAGTCCAATAAGAACTAGGGTTTACAAAACCTATGTATACGAGAGTCCTAACACAAAGAGGGATCATCACAACACACACGCAAAAACCCTAAATAGCTTAACTCTTGTCGCCTCTCAACGATGAACGATAAGATTCTGGCAGTCCTTACCACCAGCAACACGAACTCATGCAGTGCTCAACGACAAGCGTCGTGAACTCCCGCAGTCCTCAACAACGATAGACAAGAACTCTGTCTGTGCTCACGACGAGCGACGAACGATCGACAAGATCATCACCTCGCGGTTTCTTTATTGATTCATTGTAACTCTTATCGAAACTCATTGATCAATAAAGTTAACAACTTCCCGTCATTCCGTAATACTATTTCCTATTCGATCCGGTTAAATTTTGCACAAACAGTTTAACGCTAGAAGGAGGGCACCGTTTCAAGTACGTGAGATATGACAACCGAAGAAAATCGCGAGGTTACGACAGGAGGTAACAACACCCAAGCTCCCACTGCTCAACTGGCGGAACTCACTGCCCAGATTAAGCAGGCTGAAGAACGAGCAGCGTTACTCGAAGCAGAGAACGCTACGTTGAAAGCTACAAACGAGTCTCTACTTGTTGAAAGCAGAGATACCGAGCTCGAAGCTCGAAACCGATTCCAGAGACGTGTCGATCCCATGCGGTCACTTGATGGAACTACACCAACTGCATATGCAAGAACGGTGATTACATCGGCTGCGAATGCAAGGACGGTCAGACTACCAACAGCTGGTGTATCTGCTGCAGATGTGGCAAGAGATGCGGTTCGGCCGCAAGTCATCCAGTCTTTGCTTAATCCTAGTGAAGCAACAACAAACATATCAACAGATGATCCACACTTGGTCCTAAGACGTCTTGCGGATATAGAAGCGATGATCCAGCGATTTCTCGGCGTAGCA